AGAAATCAGGAGGCACCAAACCAAGGGCACCGGGAACAATGGGGAGCCTGACGACAGTGTACTTAAGATGCTATGGAGACATTTCCCAAAGGCGAGGTCCGCTTATCATGCTTTTCCTGAATCTTGCTAATCACTCTTTACTGTCAAAATGGACATTAAGCAAGATCAGGTTCGGTGGACAGTAATTTTCGTTAGGCTGTATATATACCTTGTTCCAAAGTACTTGGTATGTCATACTGAACCTGAAACAAATATATCCAAGAAAGCCCAAGCAAGTCTAGAAAATGTGGCCGGTCTAGATTTCCAGTCTCCCCAGTCCCTTGGTACTTATTATTTTCAAAAAACGGTATTTTCTGTTAAATATGTTCATTTCAGAGAGACTAGATGTTGGTCTACAAAGCTGATTAAAAGCATCGTTTTCGATTATGCCTTGAACCGTAGCATGCTTGTACAATGGATGGACCTCGGTGTAAAAGCCATAGACATGGCGAAAACTTAAAACTCTTGATTTAAAGACTAAAACTTAAAAGATTTATTTTAGCCATGCATCTCCTACGTTTTGAAACAAATATGTTCGCCGGATAATTAGAATTTAAATAGAGGTCCTATATATAATTATAGGTTGTATTGTGAACATCTACATTATAGTGGTGTTTTAAAACAATAACGGCTTTCGGTACACACAAATTTCCTAAAAGATCCGATCCCCTATCTAGGGATCGTTTGGTTTTGCTTTCATTAGTTCGTCTTTACTTACTGACTCATCTCCCCACCTTCACTCACTCACTCACCACTGACTCACTGACTCACTCACTCACTCACTCACTCACACTCACTCACCTTTGTGTGTCACCACCACCACACTCACCACTCCACTCACCATGACCACCACTCACACTCACTCGCACTCCACTCTACCACCATCCACTCACTCACTCACTCACCACGTATCCTTTGTAATAATCGTTCTGAAAAAGTTTGTGGGCTTGTGTGTGCTGCCTGTTTGACTATTTCAAATGATAATATTAAGCGCCCGGTGGGGTGTCCACCTTCGTCTCTTTGTAATAATGTTCTTAAAGTTTGTGGGACTTATGGGTTTCTGAACAAACTGAACAGAAAATATTTATCATATTTTTAAACGATGTTCATAGAATATCATATTTGGTGTAAATCTAAAGAAATCGGATGTATTGTTAGTTGTTCAGTGCACTTTTAATTCAAACTTGAAATGTGCGGAAATATTTGGACAGTTAACCTCAGCAGTGGGGAAACAGTACCCACGTGGTTCTTCGTGTGTTTATTAAATTCAGTAAATAGGGGAGGTAATCGCATTTTACAAAATGACTATTCTATTGTTACTTTATAGAGTAATTTTGTTACTCTATTGTTAATTTGTTTGTTTGGTTTAGCTAATTTAATAAAGTCACAATAATTTGTTGTTGTGATTATTTCTTTGCGCAAAAGTTTTCTTTGTTTCCTTTGTCATTCTGAAAAAATGTAATGTACGTGTAATTAGTCTGAAGTATTTTTTTGACACCACCCCCACTCACGCCGAGAAACATTGACAATAACAAACAACATCTCAACTGACGATTTAGTCGACCAACAGTAGCATGAATTTTAACTCAATATAATGCATATTTTTGTGTGTTGATTCTTCAGCCTTTCGCAGGACTGGTTCAAGCAACATGTTTATTGATTTTAATTTGTTGTAAGCGAGTCAAACTTCGTCTACGTAAGACCCGAAGCGCATGGCCATAGAGCGCCGGTGTGAGCTGTCAAACACGAAATACTTATGACGGCTTTCATACAAATGAGCAACATGAGGACTTAGTATTCCCTATTGCGAAGATGAAACAAAATATATGAAAACTTGCGAAAAAATTGACAAGGTACATTCGGGTAAAATATCTTTTCTGTGATAAACTTTCTTTTTTTAGACTGAATGTCATGAATGAAACTAAACAGATGGTGAAAGGTAGACTTATATTTTATCACTTTAATTGTTCTTCATCAGATTTCTGTGACCAACATTCCTAGATATTAATGGTAATAAGTTGGTGCCGAATATAATGAGAAAATTAGAACATTCAGTGATTTACCTGGAAAGCTTTTAAGGACATTTAAATAATTTGATTTGAACATATTCAACTCTGTAATTACGAAATTTAAAATACAATCATCATAATTTTTATTGACAATCAGTCAGTGTCCACAGAAAATGTGTCAATGTGTATTGAAGGGGTCGGTGTCAACACAGGCACAACAGATGTGTGTATCCAGGTGCGTGCCAGTATAGAGAAATGTACCCTAAACAAAGCAAAAGACAGAAACGCATCTGCACTTCTAAACAGGGGACAAGTCCATATTCTGCAACCCAAAACTAAAGCCGGGTGTGTGACCGGTGTCAACTTTGGAGTCAACTTTGTGTGCAGACTCTTTCAGTGTTGTCACAACCCTAGTGTACAGTACACAACCCTGTGCACTTTAAAGAAACCATTAATTTTGTTGGTAAACGACCATGATGGTGGCCACATGAGTACGTGCAAACACATAGCTGTGGGTACAGCAACGCAGCATTAAACATGGACGGCACGGTGACTATGTGTCACAGTCCACCCAGCTGTGAATGTGGGTACCTTAAAAAGATGGGAAAGCCACATACATTAACCTTCACTCTCTATTCAGTCATGTTTAACTTTTTATTTTACTTTTCAGTGAGGTTTTTTAAAAAGCCAAGGACAAAAAAAAGATCTAAACGATTTGTGGCCAAGGAAGAAAGTGCTGATGGAAAATCTAAAAAGAGTGGAGGCGCTTATAATCATTTGAAACTCTTGACATTTCTGAGCATTTCATTCAGAATGCAACCCGTGAAGATCCGAAAGTGTTATAATTGGTCTTCCTCGCAACCCATGCTTGTTGTAAGAGTCGACTAACTGGATCACGGTGTCATTCTTGCTGACTTGGTTGATTCTCATGTCATCGCGATCTCAATTGCATAGATTGATGCTTTAATGGTGTTAATCACTGGATTGTCTGGTCCAGACTCCACTAGTTATAGCCAGAATACTGCTGAGTGTGGCGTTAAAACAACAAAACAGTGGTCTAGTGGGTAGAGCATTAGCCTTTGAGCAGAAGATTGGTGGTTTCATCCCTGTCCCTGTCATACAGAAAATGTTAAACAATGCTGCTTTGTTGCTGCATTGCCTGTGATTCGGACAATGAGTTGACAAGAGAATATCTGAATGGTATTGGTATTAGATGACAGATTGGGCTATCCCCCTCGCAATGCATTTTGTTATCCCCCGCAATGCGCTTTGCAGGGTTATTAAAATGCACTCCGCCCGTCGCAGGCGTCGTGCGGTAAAAGGCCTGTGCATATTTTTGGCGCTTTCCATGGCAACAAGTTTGACTTTTGACTGAAATTGAGTTGGTGCCTTTCCCGGAGCAGAACTTTAAAACTATTCAATATTTCTTCACCCAACGCGGGCAATATATAGATAGGCCCTGGTGGTGTACTCTCGCTGTACCTTTAGGTAGTTGTGGATTTCTGATCATGATATTTTTATGCTTCCATGGCAACAAGTTTGACTTCTTTGTTGAAATTGGTGGTAGTGTTCTTTTCTGGAGCAGAACTCTAAACCATTCAATATTTCTTCACTAACCTTGACACATAGATTGGTCTGGTGGTGTACTTGTGCCTTTAGGTAGTTTGTGGATTTGATCATGATATTTTTTATGCGTTTCCATGGCAAACAAAGTTGACTTTGAGCGAAATTGGTGGTAGTGCTCTTTTCCTCGAGCAGAACTCTAAAACCGCTCAATGTTTCTTCACCAAACTTGGCACATACATACATCTGGTGGTGTACTTGTGCCTTTGGTAGTTTTGGATTTCTGAATGAAATATTTTTATGTTTCCAAGGCAACAAGTTTGATATTGACTGAAATTGGTGATAGTGCTCTTTCCAGAGCAGAACTCTAAAACCATTCACTATTTCTTTTCACCAAACTTGGCACATAGATTGGTCTGGTGGTCTACTGGTGCCTTTTGGTAGTTTTGGATTTTTAATAAAATATCTTTGCATTTCCATGCCAAACAAGTTTGACTAAGACTGAAACTGGTGGTAGTGCTCCTTTCTTTATTTTAAAACCTTTCAATACTCTCCTTCCACTTTTCTATATACACCAAAACATTTGACATAATCATAACCTCGTGAGACATATTCATGAAGAGTATTTTGCCATTGCAGTGGGGATTTTGATGACTTTGTTCTTCTTGTTAAGTTTTAGCATGAAGCGCCTGAGTCGTCTTGTACTTTAAAACTAGCTTTAATCCTAATTAGGTTCACAAAGACAAAACACATGCATGCTTGTCACTACGATCTTTAAGGCAACGTTAAACCAGATTTTACCTCACTTCACGCTTACCACACTGTAATATGAGGAAATGTTCAAAGCATCACAGACCTTCATTGACAGATATTTATATTGCTCTGAGCTTATTATTTATAAATACTACTCACACTTTGATAAGGATCACAAAATTCACATCTTTACTCAAACGTAGATTTATAATTTGAAATTGTATCCATTTAAATCTGGATAAATAATGATATGGTAACACATCTTTAGGAAAAACAGCCACTTTTAAGCTTAACCATATGCACTTGATACATGAGTAACCATAAAAATGGTTTTCAGGGCACCAATCAACCATTTTGCAAATCATGGAACGAAATCATTGACAAGTACACAACACCTCGTCAATAGGCAGGTATGGGATCCACAAGATGAAACCTCGGATCCATCACATCATCCAACATCATAGTTTTCATTGTTGAATCAATGATTTGATCCTTAGCAAATTGTGAATAGTATACAACACTCACTGTCATAATATGGTTGAAATACTGCCAATGTGACTTTAAAATTTTAACTCCCTCACTCAAAGCATCACAAAAAACTAAACTCACTCACTCTCTCATTTCTCTGTGTTTCAGTTCCCGATCACAGCTATCCGAGAAATCAAAATCCTGCAACTTCTGAAGAATGAGAATGTCGCCAACCCAATTGAGATCTGCAGGACAAAAAGGTACACATCTCATCGCATCGCCATAAATCCACAAACATGTGATAAGTCCCCACAACCCATTCTGGTCAAAACAACATGGCTCAGGGCTTAGTGAATTGGTAGCTCACATTTAAAACCAAGACCGCGATGAGTTGATGCTCATGATATCAGTCACCTGATTGCTGAGCCTGATTATAATGTTTCCAGGTCTCCGCCATTGAGCAGAAATAATGCAGTGTTAAAGATACATGCAAAAAGACAAACAAAACAAATTCTCAAGCAGGGATTTACCTTGATACCTGTATTTGAGGGTCCCTAGTGACTCATGCTGTTAATTTTCAGGGGTCCTGGACAACAAAATAGGGTCCCAGACACTTAAATATTATCATTAATACTGTTACTGTATTGTGTATCATGATCATCACATTGTTACAGTAATTAAATTGCAAATAATACCAAACCCAGCTAGTAGCAAGCTCAGTGATAACTTATTGTCACTTGATTGGAATTTTTACAAAAAGTGTTTGGACTTTTTCTGAGTCCCTGTGGACGCGCTTATGAATTTTGTTGCATCCACTGTCAATTTTTATACGTATAGGACGCAGGAATTCGCGTCCTGTAAATCCCTGCTCAACCAACAGTCCATCAGAGCTGAACACACTCTGTACTTGTAGTGTTATATTTGGATCAGTGCAGACTATTTAAATATGTTAATCTATAGTTGCATTGCTGCACAACCGGATTTCAAAACTGTACCCATTACCTTAGCTCCCTCCAACTCCGAAACTCTTGGATTTCAGCATTTCATTCAGAATGTAACCCGTGAAAATTGTGGTTAGAACTGGTCTTCAGCAACGATGCTTGTCGAAAAGAGGCTGTACTCATAACAGGATCGGTGGTCAGGCTCTCGCTGACTTCGTTGACACTTTGTCAATTCATATTCAAATGCATAGATCAATTTTTATGCTGCTGATCACTGGATTGTCTTGGTCAGGCTCAATTATTTACAGACTGCCGCCATATAGCTGGAATATTGCTGAGTCCGCGGCGTAAACAAACCAACCAGCTAAACAACAACCAACCAACCAGCCAGCCTCAGCCCTCCACAATAATTATGTGGAAACAGCGCCAGACAGTTTCAAACTCTTGGGTTGCCCTCGAAATGTCAAGCGAATTCCCTCAAAGATGATTTTGTTGATATTTCTGTATATAATGCCCAGTGGAATTCTTCACGCCACATTTACAGTTCATGGTGTTTTGCTACCATGCACATTCAGTTAATCTTGTTATACTGCCTCAGTGGAATACTGAACAAGTACTTTCCTACTGGATGCTCATGATGTTGATCACTGGGTTGTCTGGTCCAGACTCTGTTATTTACAGCCCACCCTGATATTGCCGTAATATTGCTGAGTGCAGTGTAAAACAGCAAACCAAACCAATACTTTCTAACTAATGTGACAGTCACATTGGTGGGTCATTAAACTTGATTTACCAATCAAAGGACGCAGTATAATAGTCGTTTTTTTGCTCTTTGAGGGAGAGAGGGCGGTGGAGTAGCCTAGTGGTTAAAGCGTTCGCTCATCACGCCGAAGGCCTGGGTTCGATTCCCCTCATGGATACAATGTGTACCCATTTCTGGTGTCCTCCGCCGTGATATTCTTAGAATATTGCTAAAAGTGGCGTAAAACCCCTCAGTCAGTCTTTGTTGATCACTGGATTGTCTGGTCCAGACTCGATTATTTACAGACCGTCGCCACACAGCTGGAATGTTGCTGAGTGTGGCGTAAAACTAACCTTCGCCATTCTCACTCACCTCAGTCAGTCTTTTGAGTGAGTGTGAGTATGGATTTAGACTGCTTTGTAGCAATATTCCAGCAATATCATGGCGTAGGGCTTAACGGTGTCAAGGCGTTGGCATGGGTACTGCAGATATTTACCCGCTTACATTTCTGTACAAAAGACATGTGAAGCTGAAATCAAAAAACAGAATGGCACCAGATAATTTCTAAAATATGGATTGGTCTTAACCTGAAACAAACTCCGATTTTAAAAAATTTTATAAAACAGGTGAAGTCCAGTGCACTGTGGGGAATGGCTGATTGGTTGGTTGGTTGGTTGGTTGGTTAATGCTGCACTTGCCAATACTCCCGCTACATGTAAATAATCAAGTATGGCCCAGAGCATCAGTGCAAAATAGCCACTGGCCCGGCCAGCCCATGGCTTGTAAAAATCCAGTTGGGCCAGTAAATCACTGGCCCGACTGACTAGTGAATTTTCATGGGGTCGTTTGTTTTGATGGTATTTTACCTTTTGTAATCTTTTGCTTAATTTCTACATTCAGATTTTGGGCTTCAGAATTATTTTGTGGGCTAGTAACTTTCAGGCATAGCTAGCCCGACTGGATAGGCAGAATTTGGAAACTATGTCACACAATGCAGACAATCCAGTGATTAACTGTATGAGCATCTGTCTACATAATTGGGATACAAGGACATATGTCAACCCAGTCAGGGAGTCTGACCCCGATCCCCGCAGAAGGCTCTTACAACAAGCACCGGTTACTGAAGACCAATTCTAACCCGGATCTTCAATGGGTCCTGTGGGGATTGTATTCATGCTAGAGTACTGGTGTGTGTTCAGAATTGGCTTGGGGTATTAATTTGTGTTTGTTTCAACAGGTGGTAAACCTCTCCGATACAAAAGCTAATGTGCAAACTTCTAAAATAAGAACAAACATTCACTGGAACCAGCTGATAGTCTAAGGGAGATAACTCTAGTTACTGGTATTGATAATAGATCTACAGGTTACACAACACCAAATGTTTTCCCATAGACTTCTATAGTAACGTAATTTTTTTTAATTATCCAGGCTATCAACAGCCATTCCATGTACACATGGGTACAGTCTGGCCTTTAAACTACAATAAAAACACAATTTCCGGCTAAATTGTCCTGCCAAGTCTCCAAGCACAGGAAACTGAACACATCAACCCCTGTTCCGCACTAATGTCACCATCTTGAAAATATCTGCACAGACATAAGCACAACTCATGGTGATAAAAATGACTGCATTAAATACTTAAAATTGTGGTCAGTTTTACTGGATGGATGTGCTTTTAAAAAGCGTAGACATCTTTCACTATTTCATCCAATCACAGCTGTCGCCGGTCGCTATCTCTTCAGATGTTTACATACGCACTGGCTCAGCGAGAAAGTGATTCTGATTTAGTAGAACCGAAATAGCTCCACAGCTTGATGTTTGAAAATGTGCCTTGGGATTCAGACTGAATAGGATGTTATCAATCTCAATAAAATACAGGAGACAAATATAGTGTTTTGTGTAGTTTGTAGTGAAAAGCCATACACTAGGCAGGGGTGGAAATAACCCATTGACCGACGTCCGAGTCCAGTGTTTTTTTTCTGTCGGGCAAGCAAATTTGTATATCACACTGTACTGGTGTCCAGTTGACTTTCCAATATTAATTATGTTGTTTATTTAAAAAATCAACAAGAAAACGGCCGGTATAGTGTAAAAATTATCAGGGCAAGTGATTTTACATGTGCCACTGTTCCGGAGTACACTAGCAATTTTAAAGTTATTTCCACCCCTGCCAGGTGGGAAGTCTGATCAAAGTGTTCTTGATACACTACAGCACCAGTGAGCACACCTGAATAACTTGGAGCATGTCTTCAGGCACAACTGATACAAATTCATTCCTGTATATGATGTTGTTATCTTAGGCAAGTGACTTATGCTTTGGATCACCTGGTAGTGAATGGGTAGTCACAGCATTCAAAATTAATGTCGGTCCTTTGGCCTGAACCTGATTGAAAACCACTCGGACCCACAATTTTTGTTTTCAGCAATTCCTTATGGCCGACAGCTTTTTCATCCCCAATGAATAAGAGCATTATTTCCATATTAAAACATAGGGCCTACACATTCTGATCATCTTACGGGTCTGGGTCCTTAGAGCCTGCAGCTTTTCAGGGTTAAGGGCAAACACTGGGTATGCATGCTATAAGTTGTATGCTTCTCTTGAGGGTAATATGGTCTGATGTACACATCTTTGTAGCAGTGTCACCCTAGCCGGTAGGGATGACACTGGTACAAAAAGGTGTACATCATACCGTATTACCCGAGGGAGAAGCATACAACGTATTTATCTTGCTGCCATGTTAAATGTAAAAAATATCATTTTATTTTATGTTAAAGATCGCTACCGACTACATGACATCGTCATGTAAACAAAATGGCGTCTGCCTCTCAATTGGATTTTTAAAATCAGTGAAACATATTCTGACAAGCATAAAACTGCTATAAAAAAGGTTAATTATGTTTAAATTGAGTGTGCAAACCACTCAATGTATAAAATAGCTTAAATAAAGCAGTGAAAGTCGGTAAAATAAATCTGTACAGAGTGAACTCAAAAACAGTTGTTCGAACAGTTTTCGAACTCCATGCACTGCATGCGTCATATTATGATTGTTAGCGATACAGCTTCTCTGCAGAGAGATTGACGGTTACCGTGGCAGCGGGTAATATTTTTTCCTGTTGTCACCCTCCTTGTTAAAGCGTCATTGACTAATGAAATTAAAGTATCTCACATGAAGGTAAAGTAACACATACAGCTTAGGATGTATCTTCCCTTGGGAACTGAGAATGTACATCAAATGGACACAGATCCATTGATCATGATCACTGAGCAGAGAATCAGATGGTGTTGATAGAGTTGTGGACTTGCCAAAATAAATATCTTTCTGTCTCTGAAGCATTACCGCCTCCGTGGTGTAGTTGTTAGAGCGTCCGCCCAGAGAGCGGAAGGTCGCGGGTTCGATCCCTGGCCGTGTCATACCAAAAGACGTTATAATATGGTACTTGTTGGTCCCTGCCTGGCGCTCGGTACATCAAGGACTGTTCGGCTCGGAGTCAGTATAATGTGTCTGAGTGGGGTATTCATGCTTCACTGCGGCATAGTATCTCAGTGGGCTAGCACTATAAAACCAGCTTAAATCTGGGCTAGTACAAGCAGCCGCACATACACATACACATGCATGCACGTCGTCATATGAGCGAAATATTCTCCAGCGCGACGTTAAACCCAATTTCACCTCACCTCACCTCTGAAGCATTATTAGGATCTTGTCAAAAAATTTGCAGCCTCTTCAGATTTTACTGACAGACATTTGATTTTATTTGTTCATTTGGTACAGGGGCTGTGGGGTAGTCTAGTGGTTAAAGCGTTTGCTTTCAAAGACCTGGGTTCGATTCCCCACATGGGTACAATGTGTGAAGCCAATTTCTGGTGTCCCCCGCGCGATATTGCTGGATTATTAGTAAAACGGCATAAAACAAAGTTACAAATTAAATTTGAAAAGGGCAATAAATTTGTTTTTGTTCCAGTATCCCCCTACAACAGATTCAAGAGCACATTCTACCTTGTATTCGAGTTCTGTGAACACGACCTTGCTGGCTTGTTGAGCAATGCCAATGTCAAGTTCACCCTGGGGGAGGTCAAGAAGGTCATGCAGCAGCTCCTCAACGGCCTCTACTTCATCCACAGCAACAAGATCCTCCACCGCGACATGAAGGCAGCCAACATCCTCATCACTAAAACCGGCATCTTGAAGCTGACCGACTTCGGACTTGCCAGAGCCTTCAGCGCCACAAAACCAGGCCAGCCAAACCGGTACACCAACAGGGTGGTGACACTGTGGTACCGGCCCCCGGAACTCCTGCTGGGGGAGAGGAACTATGGGCCAGCTATTGATATGTGGGGGGCCGGGTGCATCATGGCGGAGATGTGGACTCGGAGTCCGATCATGCAGGGAAACACAGAGCAGCATCAACTGTTGCTGATTACTCAGCTATGTGGCTCGATCTCTCCAGAAGTCTGGCCAGGTGTTGAGAAGCTCGAACTGTACGATAAACTGGAGCTACCAAAAAGTCAGAAACGGAAGGTAAAGGAGAGGTTGAAGTCGTATGTGAAGGATCAATATGCCCTTGACCTTTTGGATAAACTTTTGACCCTTGACCCGTCAAAGAGGATTGACAGTGATACGTCTCTGAATCACGATTTCTTCTGGATGGACCCGATGCCAGCGGATCTGATGCCGATGTTGTCGCGGCATACAACGTCAATGTTTGAGTATCTGGCACCGCCGAGACGCAAGGGTCCGATTCCACAACCGATGCCGAATAAACCAGTGGCCCAGACTCAACATTTTGAGAGGATATTCTGAGATAATTGGAAAAGTGTTGTGAGGGTGTATATGGAACAAGTCTTGCGAGGGTGTATATAGACAAAATGTTGTCTGGGTGTATTTGGACCTTTTGATATCTGGGGGTGTTTGAATCAACTGTATTATCAAGCCTGGATCATTTGTGATAGGTGGACCAAGTGATATCTAGTGAAAGCTGGACCAAGAGTTCGACACTCTTTGGATCAAGTGTTATCTGGTGCTTACTTGGTGATATCTAGTGATGATTGAATAATTTGTTATCTGCTGATAATTGGACCAAGTGTTATATAGAAATAGTTTGATGAACTGATAACTGGTGATAGTGATAACTTGAGATAGTTGAACCAAATGTTATCTTGACATGGTGGAACCATGTGATAACTTGAGGTATTTGGACCAGGTGTTATTTAGAGATGTTTGGACCAAGTGATAACTTGAGATGGTTGGTCCATGTGTTGTCTGGTGATAGTTGGTCCATGTGTTATCCGGACATAGCTGGACCATCTGTTATGTAGACATAGTTGGACCATGTGTTATCCAGACATAGTTAGACCATCTGTTATGTAGACATAGCTGGACCATCTGTTATGTAGACATAGTTGGACCATGTGTTTTCCAGACATAGTTAGACCATCTGTTATGTAGACATAGCTGGACCATCTGTTATCCAGACATAGTTGGACCATGTGTTATCCAGACATAGTTAGACCATGTGTTATGTAGACATAGCTGGACCATCTGTTATGTAGACATAGTTGGACCATGTGTTATCAAGACATAGTTGGACCATGTGTTATGTAGACATAGCTGGACCATGTGTTATCAAGACATAGCTGGACCATCTGTTATCAAGACATAGCTGGACCATCTGTTATGTAGACATAGTTGGACCATGTGTTATCAAGACATAGTTGGACCATGTGTTATGTAGACATAGTTGGACCATGTGTTATCAAGACATAGTTAGACCATGTGTTATGTAGACATAGCTGGACCATGTGTTATGTAGACATAGTTGGACCATGTGTTATCAAGACATAGTTAGACCATGTGTTATGTAGACATAGTTTGACCATGTGTTATCAAGACATAGTTGGACCATGTGTTATCCGGACATAGCTGGACCATCTGTTATGTAGACATAGTTGGACCATGTGTTATCAAGACATAGTTGGACCATGTGTTATGTAGACATAGTTAGACCATCTGTTATGTAGACATAGCTGGACCATCTGTTATGTAGACATAGTTGGACCATGTGTTATCAAGACATAGTTGGACCATGTGTTATGTAGACATAGCTGGACCATCTGTTATGTAGACATAGCTGGACCATCTGTTATGTAGACATAGTTGGACCATGTGTTATCAAGACATAGTTGGACCATGTGTTATGTAGACATAGCTGGACCATCTGTCATGTAGACATAGTTGGACCATGTGTTATGTAGACATAGTTAGACCATCTGTTATGTAGACATAGTTGGACCATCTGTTATCCAGACATAGCTGGACCATCTGTTATGTAGACATAGTTGGACCATGTGTTATCAAGACATAGTTGGACCATGTGTTATCAAGACATAGTTGGACCATGTGTTATCAAGACATACTTTGATTAAGTGTTATGTGAAAATAGTTGGACCAAGTGCTATCTGGTGATAGACTGATAAGTTGTTATTTAGTGATATCTTGGTGATATCAAGTGATGCCTGAACAGCCAATTGTCTGGTGATAGTTGGATCGAGTGTTGTGTAGGGATTATTGGGCCAATTGTTGTGTAGGGATTATTGGGCCAATTGTTGTGTAGGGATTATTGGGCCAAGTGTTGGGTAGGGATTATTGGGCCAAGTGTTGGGTAGGGATTATTGGGCCAAGTGTTGGGTAGGGATTATTGGGCCAAGTGTTGGGTAGGGATTATTGGGCCAAGTGTTGGGTAGGGATTATTGGGCCAAGTGTTGGGTAGGGATTATTGGGCCAAGTGTTGGGTAGGGATTATTGGGCCAAGAGTTGTGTAGGGATTATTGGGCCAAGTGTTGGGTAGGGATTATTGGGCCAAGTGTTGGGTAGGGATTATTGGGCCAAGTGTTGGTAGGGATTATTTGGGACCCAAGTGTTGGGTAGGGATTATTGGGCCAAGAGTTGTGTAGGGATTATTGGGCCAAGTGTTGGGTAGGGATTATTGGGCCAAGTGTTGGGTAGGGATTATTGGGCCAAGTGTTGGGTAGGGATTATTGGGCCAAGTGTTGGGTAGGGATTATTGGGCCAAGTGTTGGGTAGGATTATTGGGCCAAGTGTTGGGTAGGGATTATTGGGCCAACGTGTTGTGTAGGGATTATTGGGCCAAGTGTTTGGGATTAGGATTATTGGGCCAAGTGTTGGGTAGGGATTATTGGGCCAAGTGTTGGGTAGGGATTATTGGGCCAAGAGTTGTGTAGGGATTATTGGGCCAAGTGTTGGGTAGGATTATTGGGCCAAGTGTTGGGTAGGGATTATTGGGCCAAGTGTTGTGTAGGGATTATTGGGCCAATAAGTGTTGGTAGGGATTATTGGGCCAAGTGTTGGCTAGGGATTATTGGGCCAAGTGTTGGGTAGGGATTATTGGGCCAAGTGTTGGGTAGGGATTATTGGGCCAAGTGTTGGGTAGGGATTATTGGGCCAAGTGTTGGGTAGGGATTATTGGGCCAAGTGTTGGGTAGGGATTATTGGGCCACGTGTTGTGTAGGGATTATTGGGCCAAGAGTTGGACCAATTGTTAAAACAACTGTTATCCAGTGATATCTGGACTAAGTGTTTCTGGTTTTGTGTGAAGCTCCCAGAGTTTTTCTGTCCAGCACTAATCTATTCAGAATTGTATGCTGTTGTGTCTTTGTAAAATATCTAGATTTGGGGAGATAGCAACCACAGTTTGTCTATTTTCATGATTCCTGAATCTACAGACTTCTGTTCAGTTCTGTCCCTGGTTATACATGGCTTGTACTTGTAACCCATGTCATGTGCAGAACAGCATTTCCATTATATTTCAACCCGTGAAGATCCGGGTTAGAATATTGATCTTCAGTAACCCATGCTTGTCGTAAGAGGCGACTAACGGGATCGGGTGGTCAGGCTCGCTGACTTGGTTGACACATGTCATCGGTTCCCAATTGCGCAGATCGATGGTCATGCTGTTGATCACTGGGTTGTCTGGTCCAGACTTGATTATTTACAGACCCCACCATATATCTGGAATATTGCTGTGTAATACTTAACTCACTCACTCACTCACTCACTCACTCACTCACTCACTCCATTATATTCAGGTCTTCAGCTTTGGGGTGTCACTCAATGGCTACCTTTAAGGATAAAAGATATACTGCAGAGGTCACAGACTTTGACATTATATGATGCAGTGTTTAAAAAAAGACATAATCATGGGTTTGATACCCTGTATGCATACAGCGATACATTTCATTTTTTTTAAAACTAAACATTGACATTGAGTATTCAGGGACTTGTAATTTATTATCAGTGTTTTTCTAGTTTGGGATTGAGTCACAAAAAGTATGTCTAAATTATGTGGTTTGCCAAAGGATCCTCACAAGTATGGGTGGGTACGGGTTGGAGGAGTGCATTAAAATTAACACTGGTTTATATATGTTTTTCAAATAATGAAATTTACGTTCAGACAATAATTATATTATATCATTTCAGGCACAATACATTTTCAGTCAGCAGTCTGAGGGAGAAAGACACGGGTGTTTTTAAGCCTCCAAAAACGCATAACAAGGGTATTTGGAATGAAATGGCCGGATATTATTTGTATGTAGGGTCATGGCAAAATGTTACACAAAGTTGGAGGACTGTATCACTTTGCTTGAAGCATTATTGTATATCGCAATGCATATCCAGATTTCATAGAAAGTAGTGGTGATCCGATTAATTGAAATAATCGAAGATTGGTCACAGTGACTAAGCAATCAAGCAATCGATCATGTTTTCTCATAATCGAACACAAACAATTCTGGAACACTTGTTTTCATCAACAATGTTTTTCACAAGATTGGTTTTGTCTGTTACATTTCATAAGCACTACAAGCTCATGATTGAATTTATCTTAAAGACCCCAAGAAATTTATGTTCCTAACATACTAGTCATCCTTTAAAGATGTGAAATTTTGCCAAAAAAACACAAAAATAACTGCATGTTTTTTTCCTTATTTTTTGTGCATTAACAAATTTCATAAATGACGCCAACCAATTATTTTCGATGATTGATCGGTGGTAATGAACCAATCATCAATTATGAGATTTTAACCAAATCCCAACACTAATAGAAAGTAACATTTCAACAATTGTTATGTATGTCCATCATCACCATGCTGACTAACATATACCACCAAATATGTGATGAGTATTTCACACTGCGACATCAAATGTCAATAAGTGAACTGTATTACAAATTTTCAGAAGATTGTATTTTTAAGGGAGAAATCAAGGTTGCAAGAGTCATCATGGCCATTGTTAAAACCCAACCAACGGATAGTCAGTCTGAGCACAGGCAAACTGTAGCGCAAACAGGGTTGCGCAACAAAGAGAAAATGACCAGTCTTCGTATATGCGAGCGAAGCGAAGACTGTTCATTTTCTCTTTGTTGCGCAACCCTGTTTGCGCTACAGTTTGCCTGTGGTCTGAGGAATCTTTACACAATTGAATTGATAGAGGGGCGGCGGGTAGCCAAGTGGTTAAAGCATTCGCTCGCCATGACCAAGTCCTGGGTTCGATTCCCCACATGGGTACAATGTGTGGAGCCCGTTACTGGTGACCCCCACTGTGATATTGCTGGCATATTGCTAAGAACAGCGTGAAACCCAACTCACTCATTTGAATTGCTATATTATAATTATCAGTAACAGTAATAAGCTTACAGATGTTTTGGTTTTTTTTTAAATTTGACATTCCTAAAGCCGCCTACGAGAAACGTGTTTTCAAATCATTAAATTTTTAAAAATGTCCACAGGGACGAATGCTTCTGAATGCCAGCCATGAAAGGAGGGGGTTCAGGGGGTTCCAAAAAAAAAAAAACCCATCCGAAAACCCCCCAACACACACACCACCCCACCCCATTGGCTCCGCCAACGCAAAAAAAATTTCTTCAATGTGATCTTAAGTCATTTTCAGGGTGTGGGTGTGTGTGTTCGAACCCCCTGAACCCCCCATCTGGATCCGCCACTGCTAGCTCATGGACAGATCCGCCCTTGATCGCGTTGCCATTTTGCCGACCAGTCAAACGTCGAGATTAGGAGAAGGGGCAAGGGCGGTAACTCGTATGGCCTTGAAACCTAAATAAACCTAAGCCACTTCTAATGGACTTTCCCTTACAAAATTTTTAGGACTTTCTTTTTGCCTATGCGTCAGGCACATCATGGGCAGTTAATTTGAGATCGCGAGAACCTCATGGGTTAGTGTAGGTTTATAGAAATACCAGCCCGGTAGATATGGCAACCGCTTACATGTATGGCGGTTGTTAGATGCGACCAAACAAGTGGCCATCATCAGTGACGTGATTGATAGCGTGAACGTTGCCCTTTATATAAATCACCAGATCGTCTGGTCTGAATATTTAAAGCGTCCTCTCGTCACGCCGAAGACCCGGTTCGATTCCCCTCATGAGTGTAGAGTGTGAAGCCCATTTTTGGTGTCCTCTGTCGTGACTTTGCCGGAATATTGCTAAAACCATACACACTCACTTACTTACTCTAATTTCAGGCCACTCTGTGGCGTACTTGAAATGCTGTATAGAGATAATGCTAATTCACTCACTCACTCTAGTCTGCATGGAAACCATGCTTTAAGGCATTACACAATTTCGTATTGTGTTTGTATTGTGATTACAGTCAGGGGCACGGGTGGCCCAGTCGTCTCAGGTTCCACAATTCGAGTTGCCTCACTGAGATTATGGATTCAAATCCTCCAAGTTGAAGTCTATTAATTTATAGCTTTTCAAATAGCAAATATGTGTGGAAATATATGGTAGAGAAATTGATTTTCAACATTCCACATGTTGGTACAAGTGTGTATGGTACTTGTGAAGCAATATGAACTGTTTTATGCTTAAAGTTTGCATGTCTATGGTCTGTTTGCAGTGAAAACGTACCGATGAATTCATTTTAAACAAAAAAGTTTGCGAATCCTCATAATTTTACCTTGCCAAATGAACATTTAAATCTCAGAATTTTTTATAAACTGAGGATAAAAGTTGTTTAACAAACGATCATAGATTGAAATCGCTATTATTGGTTTGTATTACAAGGGGGTGAGGGCAGTAGATGGAACAGTGAAACAAATGCACGTGCGGTACGTGATGAGCGTTAACTTACACCAACCCTACTTGTTCTCGGTGTTTCATTTAAAGTGCATACCCCCTTGTAATACAAACCAATAATAGCGATTTGAAACTATGATCGTTTGTTAAACAACTTTTATCCTAAGTTGAATAACATTCTGAGATTTGAATGTTCAATTGGCAAGGTAAAATTATGAGGATTTGCAATCTTAATTTCACTTTATTTGATTTACCTTTTTGTTTAGAGTGAAATTCATCAGCACGTTTTCACTGCAAACAGACTATAATTGTGAATCCTTGTCATGATACTTCAGACTTATTTTGCCTGGAAGAGCCGGGCGTTGCTGGGAGCAAGATGTTCTGTTGGAAGCATGTCCAGATGACTGGAATATCAATATTTTCACTTTGTCAGTGAACTTGACTGGTGTAACTATACATGTATATTAAACTGTTTTCTTTTCTTGCCAGTGGTTTGTTATTTTGAAGGGGCGATGAGGTAGCCTAGTGGTTAAAGCGTTGGCTCGTCACGCGGAACACTTAGGCTCTATTCCCCACATGGGCCATTATACACCGTGTAGGCACGGGTGGCCCAGTCTACGGCACCAATATTCACCGTGTAGGTACGAGTGGCCCCGTCTATACCACCACTATTCACTGTGTAGGCACGGGTGGCCCTCTGTCTATACCACCACTATTCACTGTGTAGGCACGGGTGGCCCCGTCTATACCACCACTATTCACTGTGTAGGCACGGGTGGCCCCGTCTATACCACCACTATTCACTGTGTAGGCACGGGTGGCCCCTTCTATTGCACCACTATTCACTGTGTAGGTACGGGTGGCCCCTTCTATGGCACCACTATTCACTGTGTAGGTACGGGTGGCCGAGTCTATGTCACCACTTTTCACTGTGTAGGTACGGGTGGCCCAGTCTACGGCACCACTATACACCGTGTAGGTACGGGTGGCCCAGTCTACGGCACCACTATTTACTGTGTAGGCACGGGTGGCCCAGTCTATGGGACCATTATTCACCGTGTAGGTACGAGTGGCCCATTCTATGGCACCACTATTCACTGTGTAGGCACGGGTGGCCCCGTCTATGCCACCACTATTCACTGTGTAGGCACGGGTGGTCCCGTCTATTGCACCACTATTCACTGTGTAGGCACGGGTGGCCCTGTCTACGGTACCAATATTGACCGTGTAGGCACGAGTAGCCCAGTCTACGGCACCACTATTCACCGTGTAGGCATGGGTGGCCCAGTCTACGGCACCACTATTCACCGTGTAGGCATGGATGTCCCAGTCTACGGCACCACTATTCACAATGTAGGTACGGGTGGCCACGTCACCACTATGCACTGAAAAATGTGTGCCCTTTTCTTGCAGAATATATGACCAAAGAAAGCTGTTTGTCATTATTATTTATTTCACACTTAAAATAGAGCGGATGTTTATATTGGAAAAATTTGAGTTACCGCTCAGTAAAAAGGCTGATCTTTGGACCCAAATCACAAACACCCACATGAAATGTATGCTCTCTTTCTGCTGACTACGTATTCACATAACGCCTATCTCAGTTAGTGCAACTTGATCACATAACCCACCCATCCCTTTAAAAATGTTGTATCCGGGAATCACCAGCTTGCCTATCAACACAAGCACTCATTCCGACAGGGTTCCTTGTGACTTGGGCAGCGGGTCGACATACAGACCGAAGTCGCTTGAGAGTTACCATCCTTATCGTGGCCCAGCCAGCTTCGTAGAAACACCTGTCTGTTCACTGTCACCGTTGGACCTGAACATAAGGTGAGAACTCGCTGTTATTTACCACTGTACAAAACAATCTTAGCCCCACGACAGTCGTAAGTCTGTGTTAGGGTACGTAGCTACGATCATCTTAGTGCTAAGATCGCTTTGTATAACGGCACCCAGCGAGAATGCTGTTGGCCAAGAATATTAACTAAGAGAAGGCTCTGATCCTTGCGTAACATGAATCAAATCTCTTTTCTTCGAACAGTAAAATATTATTTCGATGAGAGAGGAGGGGTCCCCTTATCGGGGGGATTTTCATCCCCACACGCTACCGAGAAGAGTGTCTTATGTAACTTCGAAGCATTAAATGGGTGTCATTTCTGAAGCTGACAATATCTTGAATAGGAAGCAAAGGGCAATAAATCAGGGCCTAGATTTTCGAAGCTCTCTTAGCGCTAAGATAGTCGTAAGTTAATGTTAATGTATGGCACTTACGACTATCTTAGCGCTAAGAAAGCTTTGAAAATCTAGGCCCAGTTCTTGAAGTAGCCTCGACCCATGATAATGACGCACGTGTCAAGACTGTGCAGCGCACGTGCTGCACTAGTGTCTCGTACACAGCTGCAAAGTGTTGAATGTCACGAGAATCTCGTGCAGCATGTGCGTCATTCCGACATGACTGTCGTCTGCAAATAAAACTGCGCGAAAACGATAAACATGACAGCATAGCGTAATGGTTAAAGCGTTCGCTCGTCATGTCGAAGGGCCGAGTTTGATTCCCTAAATGAATACATTGTTTGTTGCCTATGTGATGTCCCTTGCTATGGAATGCTGGAATGCTTTTAAAACTGCTTTAGATCCAGGGCCTAGATTTTCGAAGCTCTCTTAGCGCTAAGATAGTCGTAAGTTAATGTTAATGTATGGCACTTACGACTATCTTACCGCTAAGAGAGCTTCGAAAATCTGGGCCCTTATTCTCGAAAGGTTCGTAACCCTAAGAATTCTTAACTTTGATCGTAGCCCATGTGTTAAGAATGGGCTTAAGAAGTTCGAACATTTCGAGAATAGCTAGCCTATTCACTCTCTAATATTCCCTTTAAGATCCCGTGAATATCCGGGTTAGAATTGGTCTTCAGTAACCCATGCTTGTCGTAAGAGGCGACTAACAGGATCGGGTGGTCAGGCTCGTAGACTTGGTTGACACATGTCATTGTATCCCAATTGCGTAGATCGATGTTCATGCTGTTGATCCCTGGACTGTCTGGTCCAGACTCGATTATTTACAGACCGCCGCCATATAGCTGGAATATTGCTGAGTGTTGCGTAAAACTAAACTCACTCGCTCATTCACTCACTCACTCACTCATTCACTCACTCACTCACTGCACTGAGGTGGAGGTTTGTTATTGCAGTCGTCCAGACTCGATTATTTACAGACCGCCGCCATATAGCTGGAATATTGCTGAGTGCGGCGTAAAACTAAACTCACTCACTCACTCACTGTTATTGCAGTCGCCGTGTTACGTAATATTCACTCACCGAGGAGAGAGGAGACATTATACTGTGACCTACTTGTACATCAGCGGAAAGTACAGGTTATCATGTACAAGGAATCTTGTACCGGTTATCATAACCTTTGTATATATAACCCACTTAAAGGCACACACATACTGATGCAGCACAGCAACAGCAGCCACCAACACAGCAACATCGCAGCGCACGACGTCAAAACAGCCTTTTTTCAAAACTCACATTCAGGCTGTTTGGAGCAGCGATTCAGAAATAGCTTTGAAGTTACAGCTGTTCAGAAAAGTCTTGAAAAGGATTGAAGTTATACCAATCCTAATTTACATATATATTGAATATTTCGTACATGGCAGTTTAACAGTTCAGAAAAATCCACTGGGAAGCTTCTAAACATTAAAAGGTGGGAAAACATCTGAGAAGAAAGTATTGTCGCAGATGTAAGAAAGAAAGAAAAAACAGCATGTCTACCATTTGCTGATACCCGTAAAGCTCCGGGTTAGAGCAGGTCTTCAGCAACCCATGCTTGTCGCAACCGTGAAGATCCGGGTTAGAAGAATTGGTCTTCAGCAACCCATACTTGCAGCACCCGTAAAGATCCGGGTTAGAATTGGTCTTCAGCAACCCATGCTTATCGGAATAGGCGACTAACGGGATCGGGTTGCCAGACTCACTGATTTGGTTGACACTTGTCATCGTATCCCAATTGCGTAGGTCAACGCTCATGCTGTTGATCACTGGATTGTCTGGTCCAGACTCGATTTTCTTACCTGTACACTGTCACCATATAGCTGGAATATTGCTGTGTGCGCCGTGGAACAACAAACTAACGAAGTTTGTTTATGTTAATCAGGGGTGGAAATAACTTTAAAATTGCTAGTGTACTCCGGTACAGTGGCACATGTAAAATCACTTGCCCTGATAATTTTTCCACTATACCGGCCGTTTTCTTGTTGAATTTTAAAATAAACAACATAATTAATATTGGAAAGTCGACTGGACACCGGTACAGTGTGATATACAAATTTGCTTGCCCGACAGAAAAAAAAACACTGGACTCGGGCGTCGGGCAATGGATTATTTCCACCCCCTGAGGTAATGCTATTTGCTGCTTGTGGTGATATGGATAGTATAGCTCCTGAATACACACAGACGATTTTCGTTTTGACGACTGCTTCGCAGCGGTATTTCAATATGTTCAGTGCAGCTGCAGAAGACTAAAATTAGCTGGGATTTCACTTTACAAATATCAGAAACTTCCAAGCAATATAGCTGACATCAAAGGACTGACTGACTGAGTTTGGTTTTATGCCGCTTTTAGCAATATTCCAGCAACATCACGGCGGGGGACACCAGAAATGGGCTTCACACATTGTACCCATATGGGGATTCGAACCCGGGTCTTCGGCGTGACGAGCGAACGCTTTAACTCTAGGCTACCCCACCGCCCCAACATCAAAGGAGGTCTGTAAACATAGCTAGTAATTTTTACAGTAATTTAATGAAAATGTCAAGCAGGTATAAGCGTAGCAATGATCACGTGTTACGAGTCACGTGCCATGATGCCACAGATACGATGTAACACAGGAATCTGAGTAGTATACACAATGGGGGTACTAAATAATTTCCATAAAAGCCTCTGCAAAGCTTCATTCACGAAATAAAGCTTTTGTCATGCCCTTATCTCTCCCCGCTATTGCATATACCAGTTTTTAACCCCCAGTTAACTTCCTGGTCGCTACTTGGTAAGGTAAGTGTTAAATATTTTGCTTGGGGGGTAACATTGTGACCAATAATTCCTCTCTGACGAAACCTCTCCCTGGCCCATCTTTCAAGTAGTACAAGTTCGGCTCGTCGGCTTTGATGTCCACTTTATCTATGTTGTAAGTTTTGACTGACCATATCGGGTCGGTGGCTCGTTTCCGAGTGTCCCCTTCATGTTCTCTCGGTTGGTAGAGGTACCTCACTAGGACCCGGTCGGGTATCTGTTTCTGCTTCCCACGCAATGGTGCAGCCGGTTCGGCCGTCACTGATTTCAGTTTGATAGCGTCGGCCGGTTTCTTACCGGTGAGCCGAGTGGTTTTGTGGTTGATAGCCGACACCACTTGAGGTAGCCGCGCTACCCATTCCATCGATTTTTTCCCCGGGTTGGCAATCTCTCTCGCATACTGGTGTCCGAAT